CATCTTCTGTCTTGACTGTGGCTTACACAGAGGGCTGTGGTAGTCTCAAAGAGGACGCAGGATAGATTGAAGGGAAGGACAGTGGTACCCTGTCCTGAGAAAGCCAGCACCCTCCCAAGGATTTGGGAGTAGGTTCAGAAAGAGACCACAGGTATCTGCAGTGTGCCAACACCCTCCCAAGGGCCTTGAGATAGACAGATCAGCCATAGAGCATACTGTAACTGCATGACTATAACAGGCCCAAGCCAGTTATGCTTTTTTCATCAAGTATTTTTAGTTTATGTGCTTTGCTTTTATCTCTTTCTGTTCAACTAAATACACTGATATACTGTGCATTGTTGAAAACCTGTGCCTGTGAGATGAGCAACTAAAAACTGTTTTATGGCTGATTGTGATCCAGTAAAATACACAGTGTATATACATTGTAAGGGCTTTCAGATATTAGACCCCTCTACTGAAACAAACAGCAAGCCTCTCAAAGAAACACCCTGCAATCTGATTAGCATTTCACACTGCAAGATGACTTTGATTTTAAATATGGATTTATACTGACAAGCTAAACAATTTTATTTATTTATTAGCAATATATTTATTTGAGTAATTTTTCTGAGACTGTTAGGTCCTCTGCCAGTGCTCCCTCTCCCTCTCAATCAGGCAGAGAGGTCAAGCAGCAAGCATGCCGGGAGACAATGTTATGGTTTGTGGTCTGGCTTACTGTTTGTGCTTTTATTTTGGTTAGGCTTCCTGTCCTTTGTCACCTCACTTGACCCAGCTTTACTCCGGTCATAATCACCATTCTTGTTTTGTTACATTAAAATCCTATCAATCTCTGCCTTGGCTTGCGTCTGCATATTTGGGTCCTTCCCTTGCCTGAAACATAACGGACGAGTCTCTTCCGTAGCTTACCGAACTACTCTTTGCTAACCCTTGTTCTTTGCTTCTCCTAGCCAGTGTTGATCAGCTCCTGTCAGCACAGCTCACCTGTTTTGTTCCTCATTGTTGCCTGGGTAATCCCCAGTCCAGTGTCAGCTCTGCTTACCTGTTTATCCCTTTTCACAGAAGTGAGTTGTCTCCAACCCAGTGTCTGCGTAACTCACCTGTTTGTTCCCCATCACTGCCTGGGTTATCTCCAGTCCTCTGTCAGCTCTGCTCACCTATTTATTCCTCACTGCAGTATGAGTGGTCTCAGCCCAGCGTCAGTGCAGGTCACCTGGTTGTTCCTTGTTGCTGCCTGCCTCACTCCACCTCAGCTCTAACTGCTGGCCGTGAGTCTACGCAGCCCTTCAGCTGCGACTGCAGTTCCCCCTGCAAGCCTTACCCAAGTCTCTTACCCCAGTTACCATTCTCCTTCTCCGGTGCTGATTGTATTCCCACTCAGATGACAACTTTCTCTCAGTGCCAGCCTGCATCCAGCACCACGATTTGGTGCCTTGCCAGTCTGGGCAGCATCTCATCCTCCAGCTAAGCCAGGTCTTTATTTACTTATCGGGGGTGGCTGTGGCTCAGGAGGTAGAACGGGTCGTTTCTTAACTAGAGGATTAGCGATTCAATTCCCGGCTTGTCCAGTCAACATGTCGAAGTGTCCTTGAGCAAGATGCTGTGATAACACTGGTTTGAGTGCGAATGGGTCAATGGCCAAATAGTGTGAAAGCACTCTGAGTGTGCTGCAATGCATAGAAAAGCACTATACAAGTATAAGACTGCACTCCTAGAATAAATCTGGTTTCTAACCCTGAATCTGAGTCCTCTGTTTCATCTTGAACAAGGCCGACTGGCCCTTAACGGAAACAGTGCTTGGTCAATGTGTAGGTTTTGACACAAGTACTGAAAATCTTTGAACTCAATATACTGTAAATGCTGACACTGATTTACACTGATCAGGCACAACACTATGACCACTGGCAGGTGACGTGAATAACACTGTTACAGTGGCACCGGTCTGTGTGGGGTACTGTATATTAGGCAGCAAATGAACATTCAGTCCTCAAAGTTGATGTGTTGGAAGCAGGAAAAATGGGCAAGTGTAAGGATCTGAATGACTCTGACAAGGGCCAAATGGTGATGGTGAGATGACTGGGTCAGAGCAGTGGTCTAAAGGACAAATGGTGAGCTGGCAACAGGGTCATGGACACCCACAGCTCCCTTATGAAGTTGCCCTACTGTAGATTAAACTTTTACATTTGCAAAAGTTATTTTTGAGTCTTTGTTAAAATGGGTGAAAATGAGAAATACTGTATATTGGTCTCTATGAAGAGAAAGTTGGGGGCTGTAGTGGTGATCACACCTAGAGTAGTGAGGCTGTTGAATTTGTCTGAATTCTCCAACTTGTCCTCACAACCAGTTTTCACTTCTTTTTCATAAGTTTTTCACTCAGTTGTAGACATCTGTGCTCTTCCTGACAGAACTGTGGAAGCAAATGGGTTCACAGAAGATGCACAGTGACACAAGTGCCAACCAACTGCCACATTGACTCCTATATAAACGATATTAGACAGGTGGTTAATGTTATGCTTGATCAGTGTATATGTTCTGTATATGAACTGATATGGAAAACTGATACATTTTTGTCATGTCACTAGTTCACTCTGCTGTCATCACATCTCAGTCAAAGGGCAGAGCTCGCCAAGCTGACATGAAAGAATTAGCAGCAATGCAGGCCAACTGCTGCGTTGCCTCACGTCAGCTTTGTTTGTGCCAGTCGGGTTGAAAAAGTGACACTTGAACATATCACACAGACTACAGCCAGTGGCCAACTAGGACATACGTTCTGCTCCTGCATGAAAGAAAGAACTCCCCTGACCATCAAGTGACTGTATCTGTGTTTGTCATACAGAAAGGGAAAGAAAAGCTAGACTGCTTGTGGTTATGGAAGAAATGAGGCTGTGGAGGTGAAAAACAAGGAGAAACTGCACTAAATCGGTGAAACCCTGTATTCTACAGTGAAGGCTGAAGGGGCTTTCCCTAAAATATTATCTTCTCATGCACTGATTCATTAAGCTTAACAGCCGGTCAGAGCGGTCTCTGTCTTACCAATGAGACCCAACCTACAACGCTGATTCAGCATGTCAAGTTGGCCGAAAAGCTGCTGACAGGGCCACCTAATGGACTATATTTTGTTTTTGACCAGTTTCTAATTTGTCCGTGCAAATTCTCAGTCATCCAGGTCATAGTATGCTGAAAAAACGTAGAAGAAGGCATCTGGACGTAGTTTTAGGTAGAAGACGTTTCGCCTCTCATCCAAGAGGCTTCATCAGTTCTGTCTGACTGGTGGTAAGTAGGAGGTATTTATCCTACTAGGTGGTGTTTCAGTCCTTTGATGACCAACAATGTCCTCTAACGACTGAGTTAGAAGACCTGTACCTAAAACTACATCCAGATGCCTTCTGCTAAGTTTTTTCAGCTTTCTAATTTGTCGTCTGCCCATTTTACATAGAGAGTATTAGAAACATCTCTGAATATCAGGCAGTCCACTAGAACATCACCATCTCTGTGTGCAAAAACAAGATATAATTAACTCATCTATGATTGTGTATCTGTATAGTGTGTATAATAATAATATCACTAAGAATATACAATAAAAGAGAAACACAGGGTGCGGTGGTTGGCTCTGTTGCCTCACAGCAAGAAGGGTCCGGGTTGGAACCCCAGCTGCATGTCACCCTGTGATAGATTGGCAACCTATCCAGGGTATAACTGGATTGGCTCCCTGCCCCCCCGTGACCCTATTCAGGAATAAGCAGTATAGATAATGGTTGGATCGATATCAATAAATTATAGCGTACTTGGCCACTGTTATTGTTGAGTATTCAATATTCTCACCATTAGTTTGAAGATTGCTTTTACTACAGCTACTTTTTTTTGCATTTGAATAATTGTTGACCTGGGTACATTTCGACGAGACTCTGCCCATGTCCATGCATGCCACTCTTTGTCTGCTATTCACAAGCACAAGATCCAAACACACTGACCTGTCCAGCACCAGTTCTTCCAGTTTATGCAGGTCACAGGCAATGTACTCCAGAGCCATGTCAGTGATCCGAGGGCACCAGGACAAGTCCAGGCTGCGGAGCTTACGCAGGTTCTCAGCAACCAGCTCCACACCGTCGTCAGTGATCTTGGAGCAGCCAGAGAGGCTCAGGGCAGTCAGGTTGGGAAGGCTGTGCACCATGTTGACTACACCATGATTGGTGATCTCCCAGCAGGAGTGCAGCCGCAGAGTGTGGGTGGTGTAGCCCTGTGAGTGGAGGGTAATTTCAGTTTGTTTGATATGTGCACAAATGGAATTAGATAAAAATTTGGGGTGGCTTCACTAGTATTAAGGATGAGCCCATCACAAGCTGTTCCACACAGGGCAAAAATCAACTGCACTTGTGGCACCATTTGCATTCTGTCCTCTCCTCAGTAGAGCTACTGTATATGAAGGAATGACAAAACATTACATGGTAAAGCCTTTGGAGATTGGAGCGGGGCGGCTAAATTGCTATGCACACAATGTTTTGTTTTCATTCACTAACTGCAACCTCTATACTTTGGTTTCTCAAAATAGATCAGTTCAAATTTTTACTGAGCCTGTGCTCAGTAGCAAAATCAGAAACCTTACACCGTCTCATCTTCATTATACCTGGCCATGACACATTTAAGTACTTATTTAAGCTCAATTTAATTTTGGTCTTTGTTGATATCTGTCACTCTGGATGCCTCCACATACTGTCACTGATCCACTGGTGCAGCTTTAATTAATAAGAACACTGTCAAGGTTATAACCTTAGGTTGTTTTGGTTCTACTAAACCAGCTTTTTTTCATTTCACTGATTATGCTTATTAATAATGCAAACAAGCACTTTGTGGAAAACACAGTGTATTTTGTGTCAGACAGAATATAAAGTGCTTAAACATCCAGAACTGAGTTGTGCGAATGTGGACAGTGAAGTCTCAAGCTGGCATCTCTTGTTTTGCCGCCCTACCTGTTTGGCTGTGAAGTAGGCCATGGCTGTGTCAGTGACGTGGTAGGCCTGCAGGCTCAATTCTGATAGGTTGGGCAGGAGCTGTGAGATAGCAGCAATGGCGTCATCTGCCACATTGATACAGTCACTGACACTAAGGGAAGTTAGCCGGGCATTCAGACTGGACCACAGACCGGCCTCCGTGAAGTCGTTGCAGCCCGACAGCTCAAGGTGCATCAGACCTTGCATTTGTTCCAACATGACCTGCAACATAAAGGTCATCAGTTTGAGTCACTGTTGTAGTTGCTGAAATGTGGTTACATAGAGCTAAAAAGAAATTAGACAATACCTGACTAATCAGAAAAGCAGCTGAATTCTGGATTTGATGATTTGATGACCATTCAAATCAAAGGGATACAATGGGCACAGTTTCCTAATATTAATCTTTTAATTACAGACAGTCAGAACTCAGCTTAAAGTTACAGTTGGACTTGATGCCATATTAAGTGTAGTGTAGTGTAGTGCAAACCCCAGCAAAAAGGTCTGTTGCTGAAATCATTTATCAGTTTTATTGTGCAAAAAATTTCAACCCTATCTAGACACTTACTTTCTGTTTTGTGCCAAATCTAACCAAGCTTCAGAAAAAGACACCAACATCATTTTGATATCTTCTTTGTATTTGCTGTTTTCCATCTCTTCTGTTTATTTTACCTGCAGTCTGCCTGCAAATTTATTTTAACCATTTGCATAACCATACATTTACACATATTTTTACTTGTGACATACAGTTTTATACTTTTTAGTAATTTTGGTGAGAAGTTCCAAAGCACCACACTGTCAACACTTCCGTTGTCATTGAATTGAAATGAAAAGTGCCTTAGAACAGTGTCATAAGCTCTATCAATAATCAATTAAATATACTTCAAACATTGTTCAGTGATCTTGTGCTTCAAATGAGTAAAACTGTCTGTCTTTTAATCTTTTTCCAAACTTAACAAGAATGATATTTTTTTTGATTCTACCAACCAAAAAATACTGTGAAGAAAAAAAAAGCCATTGAAAGATGAATAGTTTGAAGATTATTGGAATTAAATAAAAATGAGCTACAGTAAACTCTGTTATTGTGAAAAGAGTTTTTATTGTTTCAAATTAAATTTATGTTACATACTTTGGGTCTCCATAATACCAGAGCATGGACATCTGCAATACTGTGCTGTAAAACTGAAACCTACATTGATTTTCCATTTGGTCTTTTCTCCCATTTTCCTTCAGTTTGGAATTCTTACCCCTTTTAAGAAGCAGTAAAATGGTAATGCACAAATCAGCACCCCACAACAGTTAAGTCCATATATAGATCATGCAGCCAACAATTTGAGCTTTCTCCATGGTAACCATCCACTCATCCCAGAATAGCAGCCTAGCCTAGCAGGTATGAAGCACCGTCTGAGAATCACTTTTCAAGCATTATGTCTTTTTGTTCCAATGGAAAATGAGAGCATAATGACAGAGTTACTGTATGTGAGCAGAAGTAAAGGGGAAAGTAACAGGATTTCCAATGCTCTTTCACTTAGCATCTAACTAGCTTAGCTGGGGGTTTAGAACAGACTACAACTAAACTGGAATTTGCAGGGATTTAAAATGCAGCTGTGTGCTAAACTGGGCCCAACCGGTGTCTCAAAAATGCTGTGATACAGGTGTGTCAACACTAGGACAGCGTCTCTGATGGCTTGCAAACATGCGCTGGGGCAATGGATTGATTATTGTTGCCATGTGTTGCTGCACTATTACTGTTGTTACTGTGATGTGCATTGTGTTCTGCAATGTTTCCACTGCTAGCCACATTTCTACATCGTTGTAGAAGTAGTTACCACGAGTGAATGTGATTACGCTGTGAGTTTGGTGACTCAGCGTTACAGTACATTGATAGTGAATTTTATTCCACCAGTGATTTACAGGTGGGAACCTGTCTCCTCGCAATGTTGATCTTAAACATGATCTTGACAGACCATGTGTACTTGCATTTGTCATACCTGACAATCTCTATCACACCATTAAGTACTATCGTTCTAAATATTTCAATCAAATGAACATTATATTGTTGTACAATTGCATGTTTCCTTCCTAACAGTTGTAATGTTGGTAATCTTTAAATAACCACAACCACACTAAACATTAACCAGCACAAATTTTGATTTTACAGGTCATTTGTGTGCTCTGAGAAGTGTCTACAGCTTTCACTCCCCTAATAATGGCACTGCCCAGGAGTACTGTAAATTATCAAATAAAATCCAGTACTGACAAATTGAATAAAATAATCATCTGGTCACTAATAAAGATCAGTAAAAGGAGGTGGCTCATTCTGGCATTTCACTGCTCTTATCATTTGCAGTCCCTTCTCCTTTTCATTTTAGCTGTCGATATCATTTTTTATTTATTTAGCCTTAATTTAATCAGGTATAAAAATCCCATTGTGGTTATCAACCTTTTTTGCAAGGGAGAGACTCACTGAGAAAACACTCTTGGAGCTTTAATGAAGCTCAGCACTTCCTGTATACATTTCAAATTAAAGGTCTACCAAAAAATGGATGTGAATATGAAACATACTGTACGTGAGACAGTAGCTTAACACTGAAAGAAAAAAAAGTCAAACTGGAAATGAATGAAAACAATAAATAAATAAAAACAGTGCTTGTGCTAACAAGTGCAGACTGGTGAGTATGACATGACTCTGTTGCTCTAATGATGAATTAGTGCTGTGGAAATAGATATTACATGACATTTATGAAGGTAAACATTGAATAACTGTTGTATTTGTAGAAATAGCAATCAATATAGAAAACTAAATGAGCTCTCAAAACTAAAAATGCCACAGCCTGAGGGACAGTGAGTGACGCAGGCACACACACACAGACACCATAATATAAAAATTTGATTTGAATCTAAATGTTTTGCTCTTTTTCTTTTGAATTGTCCAATTATTGTAATTATTTATTTACTTAATTAATTTCAGTTAATTTAATCAATTATTTAATCATCAATTATAAACTTTTTAAATAAGTTTTTGATGCTTTGGCAACACTGTTTATTAAAACTTTCAAGCCAATAAAACCTACTGAATTTAACTGAATTGAATAGAAGCAGATCAGAAAGCAGAAAGAGTTGTTTGTAAAATTAGATCAAATCTAACATAAGAAACAATCACAAATAACTATAATATATAGGTGTCTGCTCACAACTGTTGTTGACCAGTGGTACTACTTTGTTGTGTTAGTGGCTTTTCAGACTGCGAGGAAGAGTTGGAATGGCTCTGACTATAGCTATGAAAGGTATAATTTATCAGCCACCAGAACCCACTATGTGAAAATGTCAAATTTTTCATAAGTAGCCTCTGTTCTTTGCAAATACATCTGGACTCACCTCCAAGCCAGCATCTGTGATAGTGGACCTCTTGAGGCTGACTGAGCGAACACCCTTCTTGGACAGTGGGTAGTTGTCAATGAACTCACAAATGTCCAGGTCTGACACACCCACTAAGCAGAAAGACTGGAAGCCACGTAGAGCAAAGGCCTGCAGACTGACAAACTCCTTCTCCCCACTGGGCAGCAGGGTATATAGCTCCTTGGCATGCAAGATGGGTGTCACGCCTTCCCAGAACTTGGGCTGGTACAGCACTTTGCGCCATGTTTTGCAAACCTGCGCCAGCACACACTTTTCAGCAGTGGTGAAGTACCAGAGCAGTCGATTCAGCAGCTTCTCATCCAGGACAAGCTGGCGCTCCAGAAGCATGGGTTTGGGCAGAGTGAGAGGGGGAAGCTGGCGAAGGGATGGCTTCAAGCCCACCAGAGGTTTTCCAGGGTCCAGGTCAGAGCCCAAGAGAGAGGCTGCTGAGTGGGGCATGCCAGGGCCATCCAGGTGGTGGTGGTGGTGGTAGGGAAGGGAAGATGGTGGAGGAGGCAGGATGGAAGGTACTGAGGAGGACTGGCACAGGCGGTTCTTGGCAGCAGGTGTCCCCTTAGTGATGCTCGCGCTGCCCAAACCATTGGGCTGGCTGGGGGGCAACTTCACCATACCGTTGCGAGTCACACATGGAGACTTTAGCTCGCTGGGGGTGGACATGTTCAACATTTGGAACCTAGTGAAAAAGAAAAGATCCACAGTGTGCTGTTAATCAATGGAGATGTGGGTAAACACAAATTTATAAAGGAGTGTGTAGCCGTCAACTTAAAAAATATAATTAAAAAAGTCTGAAATAAGTTCAGACTGACAAAAATAACTGGCACCTACTATTTCCTATTTAACAGAAAAAGCACATTGCTTTTGATTTTTAATTTAACATATTATTTTAAATAATACAACAAATAAAAATGGCATGAACAAATATAATTCTCCTGCCAAGAGCTACAAGTGAGACAGAGCTCTCTGACGCGGGGTACTTTCTATCCAGAATGTAGTAACTGTCTTCTGATTTTATTGTGTTACATTCAAGGGACCTGTGAACCTGATATGACTGACTACAGAGCTCTCATTTTGTTTCATCTGTCTAAAGGACATTCTCCCAGAACCACTGTGGCTGAACATTCAAATTCTACTCTGTTTTTAATCTCTTTTTTAAAAGTGGGCTCTTCCCTGGTCGTCTTCCATGGAGCCCACTTTCATTCAGAAAGCTTGTGCTTTGCCAAAAATTCAAAACCTCTCATTTCATCCACACCATTCTTAGTTCAGTGGGACCAGGCCCTGCCATCAGGCCGATGTCTTCGGGCCCCAAAAGCAAAGAATAACAGCAAAGGGGATTCTTTCATTCCATCAGCCATTACTTTGTGTTATGCAGAGGTACAGTATAAGTCATTGCATTAAGGATGAGGACATTTACCATGTGTAGTCTATGATGTGTATTATAATCTGTCTGGGTATTGTAGACCTTGTACATTTGTACATTATTTGCATGTTTATTTAATGATGGTCTTATATTTTCCTATCGCAGCATGTGCAACATGTTTATGTTAGTGTGGAATGTGACCTATAACCACGATTAATGTACGACAGTAACATATTTAATATGTACTGAGCTCTATTGGATTGTCTGCTGAGGTGTACGTGTTTGTGATTATATGCACAGGCACGTGCCTC